TGAGAGAGAGCAGGGAGAGAAGACAAACCCTCTGTGGTGACAAATCCACTCTCTCTCTCTCTCTCTCTCTAACTGAGGCTTCCTGTCCAGGTCAATACAAGCAGGCGCCACAGTGCAAACGGCCTGGGACACACCATGTAAAGTGACTCTACATTCCTCCACCTCCCCACTCTACATCCCCCCCAATTCCAGCCCTGTCTCCCTCCTCTCTCGCAGACACTATTTGCCCATAACAACAACCATTGATTTTCTTCCTGATGAGGATCTAGCCGGCATTTAATCTAACATTGTAGCCCCTCGCTGTAGGACACGGCTGAGCATCTCCTGCTAATCGATTGGTCACAGTAACCCGACGTAGCTTTAGCACTTTTAACTGCTTTAAATCTGTCTGCCGGCTGTGTCTACGCACCTATGGGGTTTGGAATCAACACGGACCCAAGTCCGTCATAACGTTGACTACGTTATCTTAAAAGCCTGGGGGCCTGATGAGAAACTACATGTCGTCACATCACTTCAAGGCAGTGTGTTGTGTGTTTGTCTAAATTCACCATCCAGCCTCTTGAGCGGCTGCTTGTTTACAGGGATCTGACTGGACCAGTGATGCAGTGATCAAAACATGAGTGGGTGTCCACTCACAACACACTTCTTTATCTACTGAAATCTCTTCTTTAGGCAAGGACACTGATTTTGTTTATGCTAATTGTTGCATGAAAATAAGATGTTTTGATGTTTCAAGCCATTGGATAAAGCGGTGGGTGTCAGGTTTTTCACCATAGTCAATCAAACATATTAAACTACAACGTTAATTCTGTTTTCCACTTACTTTTGGTTTAACAGCATTTCTGATTACATTTATTTTGAACATAATTAAAGCTGCGGTAAATAACTCAAGAGCCTACAGCATGTACTGCCATTGAATAAAGCTGCGGTAAATAAGAGCCTACAGCATGTACTGCCATTGAATATAGATACACGTGTAATTCTCAAAAATTACAGTAGCAGTAACGCAGGTCTATTCAGTGATTTGATTGTTAATAGACCCAGAGAAAAGTGAATTCATCCATAAGGTTAGAAAATGGTGAATAATGAGGGAGGACAAAGTCAAACGTCTAGAATATGTTTAAAAGTGGACAAACATTCTTCACTAACAAGTCTGAAAATTTTGAACTATTAAAACTAGTATGGTGTCGGCCCAGTTCCAGCAGCTTTTTATGATAAAAAAACTGTAACATTAACAACTAATTTTATAAACAATTTAATGCAATTTAATGTTTTTTGTAATGTTTTTTTATATTTCACAATATTGGCGCTAGGTCTATCTAATTCAGAATAAGATTTCTATTGAAACTTAATTTTTTTTCTCCAAACAAACCAAATATTTTCACCTAAACATCACAAGAGAGTAAAGATACCAAAGCACAGTCATATCTGAGAAGATGCAACGGCAAACGTCGACACAGTGTTTTTACGATAACTGGTAAATGATACATTTCTATTTATCAGTCGGAAAGAAAAAAAAATGGAACCCTGAGTTTACGCATGTGTTTTAGGTGAAATATCTCTGTTTCGCTGCACAATTAAAACGGAGGCAGGGAAACGTCACCTGAGTGCATGATGCGGCCGAGGAGGGAAAAATAAAACAGAGGAAACAGCACTACATAAATAACAGTGTGCCTGTGTGTGTGTGTGTGCCGTATAGCTGAGGTTAGTGGTGTTGTTGTTGTTGGTGGGGGAGGGCGTGAGGGGGGTATTAACAACAGATGAAATGTTCAGTCACAGCAGGCCCCAGTTTTTCACATTTTCTTGCCACTTATTCCAGAACCAATAACCATATAAGTATGAAAACATAAAACAAACCGCAAACATTTTTTTTTTATCTGGGTCTCGGTTTCATCACACACACGCGCACACACGGACAGAACATCATCAGCACATAAATAAATAACCAACATATACACTGTAAAGTCCATTGTACATCAAACACAGCACAGATTACATGTGACAAGGCTGGCAATTAGCAATTTCTCTCACTCTTGAATTCAAACTATAAAAAAGATGATCAAGGCTGGTTGATATCCACAGACGATGCATAATTTATGTGGCTGGTACAAAATACCGTTCTGTTGCAGTTCTGTGCGTTCACTCCACTAGTTCATTGAAATAAAGCGTCCCAGAGGGGCATCCGTGTAATCAAGCCTAATCCAGGATTGATTTCAGAGCGGTCGAAGACGGAGAGCTGCAGAAATCTAGGAAAGCTCTCACAGTCAGGGGAGAAAGAAAGAGTGCGGGA